TCGCCCCCGTCCCCCCTTTTTTTTTTTTTTTTTTTGCTTTGGTTGGAGGTGGTTTTCTTCTCAATCTGTGTGCCCACTCGCACCACTTAGTCTGCGACGGGCTGTGGGCCAAAGTCAGGCGGCCGGGGAATTCCTAGCGGACTTGGGGGTTCAAACTGCTCAGGGAATCGAGCGATGCGTTTTGAGGGTCGAGGAATTAGAATCTCCTTTCACCAAGAGTTGCACCTTCACCCTCGGGATCATATCTGCAAAGCTGGAGTTAGGGTCCTCCCCACTTGTTTGCTTTTTTACTCCCGCACACACCTCGCCCGCATTTAGAGCTGGGGGAGGAGTGTCCCCCGCAACCTGCATGGTGGATGACTGGGGGCGGGGTAGTCTGTATGTGGTTGAATTTAATTGATCAGAAGCGGAAACGCACGTCCGCGGCTTGCGGCAGTGAGAGGCGCGACCGCCTGCGTTCCCAGCGGAGGCTGTCCTGGGTGGGGCACGGGCGCCCAAGTTCGACTCAAACGGCCCCCAACTTTGGGATGCCAGGGATCGGAGCCTCGTAGCTCTGGCGGTACTGCACGTGGACCGCCATTCGCACCCCAAAAGGGAGAAGTGTGGGGGAAGGGAAGCCTGAGCGCCCCCGAACCCCTGGGCCCGCATTCGGCAGCTTTTTCCAGGGCGATTTAGGGGCTTAACAATGGAAAACTCGCGGAGCTAGAGCCAAGTCCTTTTAAGTTGCCGCAAGGTATGCGGTTGCAGGTGATTCCCACCTGAGTGCGCCCGCAGCTCGGGTCTTCCCCGGGAAATGCGGATACCGGAGGTTGACGCCTGGGGAAGGTCTGCGGGGGCCCCTCACCTGGCTCCCCAGATCCCCCAGCTAGGCGGTGCGCAGCCGCTGTGCGTCCCGGGGTCTGCGCCGCGGCGCGGGTTCCTGAATGAACGCGCTCCCTTCCCCCTACTGAATGAAGGTTCCCACAGCCAGGGACGGTGGCAAACACGCTCCTGCTGCGGAATTCGCCCTCTCTGGGCAGACCATCCGCCCCGGCCGCGGTCACCGGGGCTGGGGGACCAAGAGGTGAGAAAAGAGGCAAGGGAATTTAAGTTACTTTTGGATTTTCTTTCCAACCAACGTGGTTACCTTCCCGATCTGGCTACTGGCCCTTTGTCTCTAAATGGTCATCAAAACGTAAGCGCAGAGCACTTTCCAAGAATTGAGAACTCGCAGTTCTTACTTGTGGTGGGTTTTTAAAAGACGACGCAAAGTTAAAGCTTCAACAGAAAAGTTTTTTCATATAAGTTGTTTTTCTCTTTGAAGAAAGCATATCAAAATAAGAATGCTTGCTCAGCTCTCCTTGAGCAAGGGCCCAGGACGGTCGGCCCCCTCGGGAGCGCCAGGGACCGCCGAGTAGGATTTCCCCGGGGTGGGGGCTGGGTCCCGGGCCCCCCCCGCCGGGCCCCAAATTCCAGCGCCTCCCCCCCGGGTTCCTGGACGGCTATTCACGCTTGGCGACCGGGCTTGCACTTTTGCGCCCGTCCCTGAGCAAGGAAATCAACGAAGTTCCTAGTCGAGATCTGCCCCGTCCGCCTAGTAACAGCGCCGCGCCCCCATTGGCTCATGCTAATTCCAGTTTCCTCTGTCTTTCTACCCGGTTGGGGGAAAGCTCCCTCCTGGACTGCGATCCCGTTTTACTGGAGTGGGCGATCCTCTTTATGCCCCGCTGCCCCTCGCCAACGCCGACCCGCCTTGCGCCTCCGGCAGACCGAGGCGCACGCGGGGCTCAGGCCCCCTTACCCCGCGGGACCCGAGCGGGCGGGTGATAGCGCGCGGCCCCATAAATCATCCGGGCGGCCGCCGGGTCGGGATTTTATGAATGAAAAAGCAGCCTGCCGGCCCTCGTGCGCTGGCTGATGCTCTGAGGCTTGGCAGTGCCCGAGGCCAACGCGAGCGTGGGTGCCCAGGGAGGGTGACGCGGCTGTGGGTGCTTCTTATGCGGGCCACTCACCGCCTCCCAGGCGGGAGCGGGGCGTAATTACCCTCCAGGACCCGGAATATTGGTAACCCTAGTTCCCGGCGGGGGAGGGGATGCTAGAGGAATAAGACCCCGCGGGGTGGGTATGTCTCATTTTGCGTAAACGAGGGGTGGCCTCGTTATCCGTTTTCTTTGAGCCTTTACTTTTAAAGGATACTACAGTTTGGTGACTCTCAACTATATTCAGAGGAAAATAAGTGAACATTTTGCTTAATTTGGGACGGGTATTGAAAAAATGTGGCGGAAAAAAAGTTAAGACTGGATAAAATGTCCTTTAAAAAAACTTTTAATAAAGACCCTACATTTTATCTCTAAAATTTGCAATAATGTTAAAGACCCTCTTGAATAAACCATGAACATCTATAGATTTTATCTTAAACCATTAAATAAATACACTCATTTCATTGGTGATTGTTCCAATTTTTGCCAGCCTGTCATCCCCCTCAAGATCACGAATGCAGCCACAGGGCAAATTCTAAAGGTGAAGGGACATCTACACCCCCAACCACACCAATTAGGAAGCTTCTGGTGGTCTTATCCCAGGCAGAGAGGCGGCTAATATTTGCATGGGTTTAATTTCTGTTTAAATTTTAAAATCAGTTTTTCACTTTAAAGCGTGTTCCTCCCGGTTAAATTGTAGGCACTGCGGGGTGGTGGCGGGGAATTTGGGGACCCCCGGAAAGCGGGACTGATCAAGGTAGGAATACGGTTTCCCCAAGCGAGCAGGACAGGACGAAGGAAATACTGGCCACCATCTTGAGTTGCTGCTGGAATTTTCGGGCATTTATTTTATTTTATTTTTTGAGCGAGCGCATGCTAGAATTAGGTCCCCGTCCACGTTTAGGGTTATCCCCTTGGGTATTTGCAACGACCCCCTGTGCGTCGGAATGAACCCTGCACCGGGTTCTGTGCTCTATCCTGAGTCCCTGCATGTTAACTAGTTCCTGAAATTTACACGTGTTAATGAAAATGAAAGAAGATGTAGTCGCTGAGATTCCTTGGCCGACTCTTCGCCCGAGGGTGCCCTCGTGGCGTTCTCGGAAATGCGCCCATTCTCCCGGCTTGGATATAGGGTGTCGCCGCGCCGGAGACCATGCGGTCTCCCCCGGCTGTGTGTGGCCCGCCCGCCCTCCTAGTTGTCCCCTTCTGCAGAACCACCTCCCTCCCACCCCCAAATCCCAGGAGACCCACTCGGGGACAACTGGGCCCCCTGCACCCCTCTTTCCCAGCGGGGAGAAAGGTAGTGCCGGGGCGATTTGCATTTCTATGAAAACCGGACTTCGGGGGCAACTTTGCAGCGGGGCAGGCGCGACGCCTCCGGGATGGCTTTTGGGCTCTGCCCCTCACTGCTCCCGGCGCTCGGCGCCCGCGCCCCCTCCCCCTGCGCCCGCCCCCGCCCCTCCCGCTCCCATTCTCTGCCCAGCTTTGATCTCTGCTTAACAACAGTAACGTCACACGGACTACAGGGGAGTTTTGTTGAAGTTGCAAAGTCCTGGAGCCTCCAGAGGGCTGTCGGCGCAGTAGCAGCGAGCAGCAGACTCCGCGCGCTCCAGCGAGGGGCAGCAGGAGCGAGAGGCCAGCGCCGACACAGCCGGGACCCACAGGCCGCCCAGGCAGAGCCCCAGCCATGGAACACCAGCTCCTATGCTGCGAGGTGGAGACCATCCGCCGTGCTTACCCTGATGCCAACCTCCTCAACGACCGGGTGCTGAGGGCCATGCTCAAGGCGGAGGAGACCTGCGCACCCTCCGTGTCTTACTTCAAGTGTGTGCAGAAGGAGATCCTGCCGTCCATGCGGAAGGTCGTGGCCACCTGGATGCTGGAGGTGCGGGACTGCCGCGGCTCTCTTAAAACTTTTCTGCAACTTGTTGCCCAGACCCACATTTCTTTGCCTCTCATCTCCCTCTCCTGTCGCCCAGTCCAACTTTGAAGTTTGTTTTGCCCTGTATTACTAGAAATCCGTATTTTCACACTAAATAGATATTGGGGGTATATGTTGAATGAGGACGGTGGTGGGGGGGTGTTAGACATTCCCTTTCCTGGTGGGTGGGGGTGGCGGGGAGGGGTGCTTGCGGGGAACGTAAGTACCAGGGGCACCCCAATAGGTCTGAGAATGCGGGCAGGCAGGCAGGGTGCCCTTTGTGGCCCCCGCTTGCGCCCCAGCCTGGCTGCGCCGCCTCTTCTGGCCGCCGCGGCCAGGAGTTGCCAGCTCGGGGGGGAGGGGGTCTAGATTTGATTTTTAAATTTATATCCATGGACACGTATTCAAGGGCCTATCGTGCCAATATTCTGAGCCATCTTTGCTCTTTTATT